TGGAAAAGTCACACAGGCTAAAATGCTTTTTGCCTTTTCTACGCCATATGTTGGGGAAAGGCGGGGATTGCATTATAAGTATAATGATAATATAAATTATTATCATAATTTAGACAAAATTGGTGGACCAGATCAAAAAGCCAAACGGGCCGTATCTGGCCCCTGGGCCGTAGTTTGCCCATGTCTGGTCTGTGCATTTCAGCTGTGCTTAATAGGTTCTAAAGGCACAAAATATTTGATATTTTTCAGCTTTTGTGCTTCTTTAGCTTGAACTGGGGGCTTTGTTTTTCTTCTCTACCCAAAATGCACTGCACTCTATGTCACTTCCTGCTTTTGTGGCCGTACCACAACGTCTCTTGTTTGGTCAGTGCCACAACAGATAAGATTTCACACCTGCCCAAACCCAGCGGAGTGTCTGTGGGCTGGAACTCTGCTCTGTTGAAAGCGGACCAAATATCTGTGGTGTGAAAGTGAAGTGAATGTGGCAGCACACCTGGTGACTCATCAGCCGAGGACATGTTTGGTTTTGGGTTTTTTTTTATCTTCTTTTGTCCGGTGTAGGTGAGCCGTTGCCAGGTCTAGTCTCTGCTCGCTGTTTCTAGTTGACTTAACTAGCACTAATGTGGTCCTCTGTCCCGGTTTGGCCCACGCTCCATGGATTTATTCCTAATAATTGCACTCACAGGCCTTTAAGGACCAAGCTGTATGTTGACTGGTGTCCTGTCTAACAAGCAGTTGAGAGAGAAGGAGTAAAAAACAATGTCACGCTCAAGGCTAAGCCAGAGCACAGGCTAATTAGGACAGCATGGCTGCTTAGCTCTCAGGCTAAACGGCCGTGGCCTTAAATGCTGGACTATTTAGCCCGCTGGACACACCGCCAATTAATTACATTGAACTTGAACAGTTTTCTTCATACTACATTAAGCTCCAAGCAGCATCCTGAAATGATGAGGGCGACGGCGAGTTAATGTAGCACTGTAGGATGAGCCGACGGGAGGAGGAGGAGGAGGAGGAGGAAGGAGCCTGGTCCTGCTGCATCGTGTTTCCTCACCATCCACTCATATGTTCATAAAGAGAATCCATTTTCTGCTCGTTAAATCCTCTCATCTCTGCTGCCCTCTGCTCTGCCGTCGCTCTCCTCCACCTCTAAAACCAAAGCGCCCCCCCACACTGCCCCCCTCTTCCCCTCTCCTGCTACTGCATGTGGCAGTCCCACACTGTTCCCTATAGACTCAAAGAAAGGCCAGCTTAACATTGTAGCAGCTTGGCAACCAGACATTAAAAAGAAGGGGGGTGGGGGGGGTGGGAGTGAAACAAAGCAGTGTGTTTTCCCTGGAGTCTCTTCTTCCCTGCATCCCTGACCCCGTCTCTCCCTCTCTGTCTCTCTGATTCTCTCCTCTAAACTAGCTGATGGCGGCAGGGTCGGGAACCCCGGTTGAGTGGAACTCATTACAGACTCCCTTCATTTCCATTCTGAGTGGGGCCTGTAGAGGCAGAGTGCACCGGGGCATTGAGGTGCATTCGCGCAGGGAACAGGGCAAACACATTGAGCAAGACACCACTTATGAAGAGTGACGGCCAACAGAAACAGCCTTTAATACTCCCACAGAGGAATACAAGAGGCGGGGGGTGGAGGGGGCGGGAGGGTGCACAGCAGAGAAAAGCCAAAAAAAAAAAAAAAGAAAAGAAACTGGGCTGTGAGGAAAAGAAACAGAGAGGAAGAGCAAAGAAGGAAAATAGCAGGACAAGGCAAGAGAGCGCGGCGAGCTGTGGGGCTGACACAACAAGAAGGCTTATTTAATAAACATGAGCTGGAGCCCAGTGCAATCAGCACCACAACGGAGGCTTATGCAGATGAGAGTCGACCTAATGACTAAATGGAGTGGATGGAGAAAAGAGAAGAAAGGAGAGGAGGGAGAGATTATAGGGAACGGACAAGAGAGGCCAGGGAGTGGTGTTTAAGTGTGTGTGATGGAGTGTAAACAGAGGAGTTTCTCTGTGGTGTAGTGGAGAACAACTGTTAAATACAGAGGAGGAGGAGGAGGAGGAGGAACCGCTGAATTTGGTCTTGTGCAGCTGTGTAACATGTTAACATTAAACAGTCCAGGCGAACGAAGAGTGGGCGGAGCCTTGTTTTACCTCATCAGGATGGAGGACATTTGTGACCAATTTAATTAGAAATCACAACATTTCTCAAACAAATGTTTTCTTCCCTACGTCCATTTTTTTTTTAACAATCCTTCGCCAGGAGGTGGAGGAGCAAGAACCAATCACGAGACAGGTGTTGGGTCACCGTAGTGCTCGACCGCCTGGCGTCGGCGTCTGCTCGTATCTCGAGGTTCCACCGTACGTCTTATCCAATCACAAACTCCGTCAGCTCTTGTGTCTAACGGTCCGACCAATGAATATTACTGTTGTTTGATTGACCCCAACAATGTCCCCAGTCTGAACAATCAGCTGGAAATAACATGACAGTGAGGTGTGTGTGTGTGTGTGTGTGTGTGTGTGTGTGTGTGTGGACTGGTAGTGAGAGTTGTGTCTGTGAGGCTTTGACAGATGAGTGACAGCTGATAAGGAGACCTGGAAGTTAGAGCAGTCAAACCGTGCGCAGATACTGGGTCTCTCCTATCATTTTGTGCGTGTGTGTGTGTGTGTGTGTGTGTGTGTGTATGTGTACAGGGCTCTTGTACACAGACTTGTCTGTTTGGAGGCAGATGCCTCGCTGGGCGTGAAGCCCAGGAATTGTGTATTCCTGCGTGTATGTTATGAGGGTGTGTGTGTGTGTGTGTGTGTGTGTGTGTGTATGTGTGTCAGTGTAAGAGGGTAATGGCTGACTCTACATGGCCTCTGACCCCGCTGGGCAGCACAAGTCCTCCTCTGTTTCTTCTCACACTGATTAAAGGGTCAAAGCTGTAACACACACACACACACACACACA